TCATTCGGCCATTCCATTTTTGATATTCGATCGCAAACGTGGTAAACAAAATCCCGTCCAAACCAAACGTGCAATAGCGCGAATTTTCTTTGATGTACCGACACGGCGTGGAACAGCGTCGAGCGCGAGCAAGCAATCATTCGCTCGCTCGCAGAGCCGTCCACACCAGTCCACACCATGTCCACACCACTTAAGCGTTCCCATAGAACCACCATAGAACATACCCGAATTCTTGCTCGCTCATCCGGTCTGGACCATAAAATAATAAATACAAGAAGAAGTGTCAAGTCAATGTTAAATTATGGAAACAGCGTGGCTGCCTGGGTAACTAATTTTCAGATATGGCGGCTGGGACATTTGACATGACATAGACATGACAATTTCAATTTTATGAAATTTATTTCCGTTTCCGGTTTTTAATGGCGGGCTGTTCAGGAGGTTTAAATGAGGGTTAATATACTTTTTACTTTTTCTAGTAGTAAATAATACAACAAAATTACTCAAAAATATTTATTTGGAATTTAGAACAATGTAAATATGCAAATCAACACAATTAAAGAGCTATAAACCCATAAACTACTGTATCAATATCAAAATATTTAAATAACATCAGAGATGCTGTGTTAAAGTGAAATAGTAAAGTAACAATGCACTGACTTACAGAAACTTGAAGATAAATAAATGTTTTCACAGCTTCACGGGCATAAAACTAAATAACTGGAAGCAGGAAAAAGGCAACCGGAACCCACACAAAACCTGGAATCAAAAAAAATATGTAAAAAACATAAATATAGGTACATAAGACTTTTGTGAATTAAATCAAACAGGACTTGAATGAAAATAAAATGAATAAAAAATATGATACATATACATCTAATACCTCATTTGTATTTTAAAAATAATCTACATACATAGATTTATAGCATTATTGCTATGAAAATACATAATAGGTACCTATGTGATATGTAATTACGCATTTCTGTTCATCTTGTAGAAATTTAACGTAGGCTAATAATAGTTCAATAATCATAATTTACCTTGTGTAACTTGCTTTCAATTGCTCAAAATCTCCAATCAGTCTTTAAAGTAGAGATACGGAAAAATCCTTAGTAAAGAATATCCCAAGATCCTTGGATCTAAAGCTAAAAAAATGTAAAAACAGTTAATATATTACCTATTTTTACATACAATATGGCCCATACCTACTACACGCAGAAACGTCGATTTCATCATTTTCTTTATGTAATTAATATCATATATACTTTATTAAAGTGTTAACAAGGAACTTTATATTAAAAAACATCTTTGTACTTATAAATTTTAGCCGAAATATCATAAACAAACTTCCAATCAAATCTAAACGGCAAAAATTAAAATGGCGCCCGACCTTGCCAGAGGCCTTGGGAGCTGACGCTGACACACAGACAAAAGAACAGGACGCCGACGTGCATAAAAATGTTCCGTAGCAGAAATTGACAGAGATCATATAGAAATATTCAGATTTTTGTCTAGGACAGTCTAGAAGGCCATGCTTTCTGCCTGGGTAGAACCGCGCCACAACTGTTTCCAATTTTCCGGTTCATAAAATAATAAATACAAGAAGAAGTGTCAAGTCAATGTTAAATTATGGAAACAGCGTGGCTGCCTGGGTAACTAATTTTCAGATATGGCGGCTGGGACATTTGACATGACATTCTGTGACATAGACACTTCATTGACATGACAATTTCAATTTTATGAAATTTATTTCCGTTTCCGGTTTTTAATGGCGGGCTGTTCAGGAGGTTTAAATGAGGGTTAATATACTTTTTACTTTTTCTAGTAGTAAATAATACAACAAAATTACTCAAAAATATTTATTTGGAATTTAGAACAATGTAAATATGCAAATCAACACAATTAAAGAGCTATAAACCCATAAACTACTGTATCAATATCAAAATATTTAAATAACATCAGAGATGCTGTGTTAAAGTGAAATAGTAAAGTAACAATGCACTGACTTACAGAAACTTGAAGATAAATAAATGTTTTCACAGCTTCACGGGCGTAAAACTAACTGGAAGCAAGAAAAAGACAACAGGAACCCACGCAAAACCTGGAATCAAAAAAAAAATATGTAAAAAAAACATAAATATAGGTACATAAGACTGTTGTGAATTAAATCAAACAGGACTTGAATGAAAATAAAATGAATAAAAAATATGATACACATATGATATACATGATATGATATACATCTAATACCTCATTTGTATTTTAAAAATAATCTACATACATAGCATTATTGCTATGAAAATACATAATAGGTACCTATGTGATATGTAATTACGCATTTCTGTTCATCTTGTAGATAATTAATGTAGGCTAATAATAGGTAGTTCAATAATCATAATTTACCTTGTGTAACTTGCTTTCAATTGCTCAAAATCACCGATCAGTCTTTAAAGTAGAGATACGGAAAAATCCTTGGTAAAGAATATCCCAAGATCTTTGGATCTAAAGCTAAAAAAATATAAAAACAGTTAATATATTACCTATTTTTACATATAATATGGCCCATACCTACTACACGCAGAAACGTCGATTTCATCATTTTATTCATGTAATTAATACCATATATACTTTATTAAGGTGTTAACAAGGAACTTTATATCAAAAACATCTTTGTACTTATAAATTTCAGCCGAAATATCATAAACAAACTTCCATTCAAATCTAAAACGGCAAAAATTAAATGGCGCCCGACCTTGCCAGAGGCCTCGGGAGTTGACACATGGCTGACACACAGACAAAAGAAGAGGACGCCGACGTGCATAAAAATGTTCCGTAACTGAAATTGACAGAAATCATATAGAAATATTCAGATTTTTGTCTAGGACAGTCTAGAAGGCCATGCTTTCTGCCTGGGTATGACCGCGCCAGAACTGTTTCCAATTTTCCGGTTTACTGTCACCCCCCTGGGTTTACTGTCACCCCCCTGGTCTGGACGCCCATTAATAGATATAAAACCTAAATAAAAAAAATATCCGTAAATGATAATTTTTAATTCTAATGTAAAAATATCTTAACTTCACAATCTTCGACGTTATTCTTCTTACCTTAATTTTTGATATTAAGATAAATCTGAAATTATAAAATTAATTATAGAATTTGTATTATTACTGATTAACACAAAAAACATTGGTAATGCTGGATTCAGAGTTCCGTAGCCGTAAGACGTAAGCCGTATCGTTAGCCGTAAGACTTAAGACGCAAGGAAAGCCATTCATAGTTGCCGTAAGACGTAACGATAACTTCCTCGTAAGCGTGCGCATTACCGTTTTTAATAGGTTATGTTGTTGTTTGGGTTGTGAATGTTGTGAATAAAACTATAATACTCCTTATTTATTTTGTTATTATTAATTTAATTGAACTAAAATGGTCACGGACAATTATATTTTCGTTGCCGAAGTGAAATATCTGTGAAATATATTATAAAAGTTGTAGAAATGGCTACCGAGTACCACCGAACCTAACCAACAACACCCGATTCGATAAGACGTAACGTAAGAATTAAAATTGGTTCATTTCTTACGTCTTATGCTGGATTCAGAGTTCCGTAGCCGTAAGACGTAAGCCGTATCGTTAGCCGTAAGACTTAAGACGCAAGGAAAGCCATTCATAGTTGCCATAAGACGTAACGATAACTTCATCGTAAGCGTGCGCATTACCGTTTTTAATAGGTTATGTTGTTGTTTGGGCTGTGAATGTTGTGAATAAAACTATAATACTCCTTATTTATTTTGTTATTATTAATTTAATTGAACTAAAATGGTCACGGACAATTATATTTTCGTTGCCGAAGTGAAATATCTGTGAAATATATTATAAAAGTTGTAGAAATGGCTACCGAGTACCACCGAACCTAGCCAACAACACCCGATTCGATAAGACGTAACGTAAGAATTAAAAATTGGTTCATTTCTTACGTCTTACGGCATACGGCTTACGGCATACGGAGATCTATGAACGCAATCGTGTGATCGTGAAGGTCGATATCCCTTACGTCTTAACGATACGGCTTACGTCTTACGGCTACGGAACTCTGAATCCAGCATAATGGTGTGGATCCGGTGGCTGACCTTGAAACGAGTTTCTGCTGCATATAGTCACAGACACTACGCATGCGCACATTTTCGATGTTGCCAGATTGTAAGTTATTTTGATTATTTTCAGTAGAAAACAAATATGTGCTTTCGGTGTTTTTTGTGTCAATATATACCGTATGATCGAAAAAGCGGCGTTCAGTTGGCTTTGAGAAATGACGATTGAGGACATTTCCCCATATAAAATAACAGCAGTCTTCATTTCATAGTCATCAACTAACACTATTTTTTTCAATCATAGTACGCGGTATATTATTTATGTAAAGGATTTATATTATTATTTTAATATTTCGCGCACAACACGTGACTAAATAAATATAAAAATATAGAGGATTGTATTGTTTCGATGTTGCCAGATTAGTTAATTATTTACTGGACGCATTTTCAGTAGAGGTACAAATACGTGCTTACAGTGTTTTTGCTACGGAACTCTTATTCCAGCATGATGCGAAAGAAACGGCGTTCAGGACCTTGAAAACGAGCCTTGAGGACATTTCCCCATATAAAATGACAGCGATCTTCATTTCATAGTCAAATTAACAATGTAAAAATATCAATAGGTATAAAATATAAATATACTGTTTAAAAAAGCGTCCATTATTCCCAAAGAGGCCTGGCGAGAATCAAAAAAGAAGCAAAAGAGACTTTTAGTCGGATAACATATCAGTCCGATTTATTGCATTATTGACAATAAATCGCACATACTGGAGATAACTAATGTTGGCTATAGTTAAAAAATGATCACCTTTGCTGTAAATTGCTTCCATTTTCATAGAAAAAATCGCCGATCAAAGATATTATAATATTCATATTCTTTGCATCTAAAAAATGTAAAAAACAGTGTTTATTTACTACCTATTTTTTCATATACATGGGGATAATCTACCTACTGCAGAAACGCGTTTTCTCCAGGATTCTTCATGTAATATATTTATATATACTTATTACCATTATATTTATAAATTTCAGCCGAAATATTAAATTGAACTTCCAAACGAAACTAAACGGAATGAATTAAAATGGCGTCGAATATTTTGGAATTATTTTCGGTAGAACAACGAATATGTGCTTATTATGTGTTTTCATGTCAATGGGAAACCGTAAGGATAGAAAAAAACTCTAGATTCCATATAATTAATGCTAGTCCTTGTTCAGGCGGGTCATGGTCGTGAGGAGAATGACAGGAATGACACTAATGACTGTTTCCACTCTTCCTATTTCACTGTCACCCCCGCTTACGGCTACGGAACCTGAATCCAGCATAATGGTGTGATCCGTATATTGACCTTTGAAACGAGTTTCTGCTGCATATAGTCACAGCATTACTACGCATGCGCACATTTTCGATGTTGCCAGATTGTAAGTTATTTTTGGAATTATTTTCAGTAGAAAACAAATATGTGCTTTCAGTGTTTGTCAATATATACCGTATGATCGAAAAACGGCGTTCAGTTGGCTGAGAAATGACGATTGAGTGACATTTCCCATATAAAATGATAGCGATCTTCATTTCATAGTCATCGGCTAACACTATTTTTTTGCTAGTACGCGGTATATATTATTTATATCAAGGATTTATATTATTATTTTAATATTTCGCACAACACGTGAACGCTTATTATGTATTTTCATAGCTCAATATAAATTAAATAGAAATAAACTCTAGATTCCTATAATTAATCTAATTGCTCTAGATTATTATGCTACGTTTAAAAGGGCTTTATTAAAAATTCTGGGAAATTATATGTCCAAGTTTTCTTTTTTTTTTTAATTTTTAAATGCTGTAGCTCCATGTCATGTTCATAATAGGTTTTTTAACATTCCATCAAAACTACGGAGGCCTTAAAAGGCCTTTTAGCCTCCAAGAATTAAAATTGTAGAATCAGCTTCAAAGCAACAGCCTTAAAAGGCCTTTTTTAGCCTCCGTAATTAAAATTGTAGAATCAGCTTCAGCAACATTAACAGTTTTACCTTGTGTAATTCTGCTTATACATATATTGCATTAATTTTCTGCTACTTTTAAGATTTCTATTCTTACACCTAATTTATGTGATTTTCTTAGCTATAATATGATTTATAAACCATATTTTCCTAATGGAAGGATGGAATAGGATATGCAAAATTAAGATATTTTAACATTTATTTTCCAGACAAAGCATAAGATTAAGACATAATAAATATTATAAGAAAGATCTTAATATAAATCACAAACTAAGTCTTAATTTGGTCTTGTATAAACACAGGTATAAAACTAATAAGATCAAAACTCTCAACCTTCACCATATTGTCAAGATTTGGCATTATAGGAAACAAGAAATTGCAGTAAATTAAGAAAAAGAATATCAAAGTACACGGATATTAAATACTGTAATGTATTCTACGATACAAACCATCTCCTTCTAAAGAGAAAAGATAAAACATAAAGCGTTCTATTTTAGTCTTATCAACACTCTTCGATAAAATATATGTCTAAAATTGCTATTAATCCAATTAACTTGATATTTTAAGAAATTATATGATACAAACATTACAATCAAAGTATATTATATTAGTAACATTATAGGTAAAATATGTTACTCTATCTCCCCATTGACGTGTATTGTTCTATAAGACTTCGTCATGGTAATATTTCAAACATCAATATACATAATATAATGAAAACTATTGTTGCCTGTAACAACTAGAAATTAAATAACTTGAAAGAAATAAAATAATTTAATAAGTTTAAAACCATTAGAAAAAATCCGTAAATGATAATTTTAATTTAATGTAAATATATAAATAAATGTTATTATTATTCAACCACTTCCATATCTCTGTTATTATTACGTACAATTTTATATATTCATAATACTTTCATTTCACAATCTTCATTATCCTTCTTACCTTAATTTTGGATATCAAGATAAATCTGAAATTATAAAATTAATTATAGAATTTGTATTATTATTAACACTGAAAAAAAATATTCAACTGCAAATAATTCGAAAATAAACTGCAATTTGGCAACATCGACGATGTGCGCCTGCGTAGTATCGATGATCAAATGCAGCAAATATGGCCTTCAAGGTCAGCCACCGGATCCACACCTTTACCAAAACATTTGTTTTCAACTGCAAATAATTCGAAAATAAACTGCAATTTGGCAACATTGACGATGTGCGCTAGCGTAGAATCGATGATCAAATGCAGCAAATATGGGCTTCAAGGTCAGCCACCGGATCCACACCTTTACCCGAATCTAGTATGGAAGAGGCCTAACAAGAATCTAGCCTCTGATCTAGCTTGCAAATTGGTGCAAATCATGTGCAAATCGTAGTGCAAATCCTTTGCAAATTGCAAATCAAGTGGGTATGCAACAATTGCAATTTTGAGTGTTGGAAACCCTGTGGCTGATTTTGGCACATTCTCGACACTGCTCGACACATCCAAAAGTGTCAAATTGAACAGCTGATTACCTGCAAAAATGGCGTTTAAAATATGTAAATGGAAAAAAATCGTATAATTTAAAGTGATATCCGTCTCTAGCCGACAGTTTGCCAAGGTATCGTGTTTTATAAGTTGTTTTACATTTGTGTTAATCATCCGTTTTCGAGAAAATAATTGAAACAGTTTGTGGCTCATAAATAAAAACATCAGTTTTGAGAATTTGAAGCTATTATACCAGTTTAATCCACTTTATCTTGTTTAGATTATTTATTCGTCGCAAGTTAAAGCAGTTTAAATGATCATTAAAAGATATTAGCACAGCACCTACCTCTGGCGCATTAGTTATTGTCATGTGACCAATGAGATTATTATGCTGTCTGTTGATTTTGTGATTAGAAACAAATAATTATGGCCCATTAAACACAATTATACTCTATGTATGATCTTATAACATTTTGTCAGTTTATTTACTCTAACAATTTTGTACTAGTTCAGACAATATATGTATACATATTAATTTGTTATCACTCATTGACTTTTATTTGAAACATCATGAGTTTAATTATTTGTAGAATTTCAACATGCCAGGTACAAGTTTAGTGGTGCCGGTGGTTTTATGGGGAAAATATGCCCCTACCCATTGTATATCTTGCATTTACTTGTCAAAAGACCAGAAAACCTTGGCCACTGGCTGCTATGATGGTCAGATTTGTTTATGGTAAGTGTAGAACTATATTTGCATTAGATCTATTGAGCAAAATATTAAATTTTAGGCAGGTGGATCCAAACACCTTACATATGACACCTAGATGCTTACTAGTGGGACACACTGCTCCTATTCTGTGTATATCCAAAGCCTCAATAGTACAGGATAATAATTATATTGTATCGAGTTCAGAAGGTGGAGAGATGTGTACATGGGATATCACAGATGGAAAATGTAGAGAAGCTATTAAGTTACCTCAGGTTCACACAAGCATGCAAGCTTATCATATGTGTAATTGTGAGGATGTCAGACTGTTTTGTAATGGATATTATCCAGAAATACTTGTCATGGATCCTTTTAGTTTAGAAATATTGTTTACTTTATCTTCTAAACAAAACCCAGACTGGATAAGTGCATTACATGTAAGAATCAAAATACTATTAAATTCTCAAAAATCTAAGCTGTGCAAAATTCCATTTTAAAGGTTTTGAGACCAGTTAAACGTAAAGATGATGTTGTTTTGGCTTTAACAACTACCGGCATGGTGAAGGTATGGACATTGCTTGGTCACGAGAATAAACATTCTGAACCGATATATGAGAATGAGAGCAAGCAGATCAAAACACTGAATGCTGTGTGTCTTCAGTGCTGTGCTTACAACCAAAGAACTGTTCTAGTTGTTTGTACTAAGTACTGGCAAATATATGATGCAGGTCAGTGGACTTATTAATCCATTTGTAATTTATAAAAATATATGTATTGTAATATTTATTTGTAGGGGATTTTAGTGTTCTGTGTTCATACCTGGCTCCAAGAGGTGAAAGGTGGATGTCAGGTGACTTTCTAGCAGTTGATAGGATTATTATGTGGTCGGATGCTGGCAAAGGATATCTCTATAAGTTACCAGCTAAGTAAGCTTGATTTTTTGGGTCATTCTTTTGATTTAACACAAAGTACACATCTAACAGGTTTTGGACTTAAATAAGGTTATGAGACAATAGGTTGTGGAATATACCAATTTTTTACACATATTTTTACAGCAAATAAAACACTCATTTCAGCTCATGGTTTTGTTATAAGGTTTTTTTAGTTGTATTATTTTATATGCACCAAATTGTTAGCAGACTACAACATTCTACATCCATATTAACAATGATTTTTCTTATTTTTTTTTTCGTTTTTTCATCCTGGACATGAAGAAAACTGCGTGGCAAGAATGTTAACAATAGGTTAGAACAGCATAATAATATCATATTATTATCTTTGTGGTGTTTATTCTATTACTATTTTATATTTCTTTGCTTTTTATTGTGGTGTATTTTCAGATCTCTCATTATGTTTTTCTATCGTTTTGAGTTAAGTCCCATTTCACATGAGGCGTTCAACGCGCCCTTCATTAACCCTTGAGCTTTGAGTGGCATTGAACAAACAACAAAAAAACTACAAAATTCGAGGGGCTTAGGCAAAAATTTGTAAAGGATATTGCTGCCATTATTCCAGATTTGGTGGATAGATCTGTATTTTATTTCGATTAAAATAATTCTTGGAGGCTCCTTTAATTCCGTACACAGGGTTACAAATGCACTTCTTAGTAGTGTTGGGAAAATTCGAATTAAATAATTTGACTAAGCAAAATAAAATTGCACTAAATCACCACAATACACCAAAACACTTTTACTTTTACACTGGACGCGCGTTTCGCTAACCATGTTAGCATCATCAGCAGATGATTATAAACTGTTTTTTTTTATAAACCAGTTTATAATCATCTGCTGATGATGCTAACATGGTTAGCGAAACGCGCGTCCAGTGTAAAAGTAAAAGTGTTTTGGTGTATTGTGGTGATTTAGTGTAATTTTATTTTGCTGTGTAACACCAAAGGTTCCAACCCTCAACTGTAATAATTCGACTAATTCGATAATAAATTAAAACTAACTAATTCGATTATCTTTTTCGATATAATCGAGATAAAAATTAGTAGTATTTTATATTATATCTGTGGTAACCGAATTACAAATGAACATAAAATATAACCTCTTATGGACGAATATTAGTAATTAGTAGTATTCTTTCGGTCTGAACGAACTGAAAATTTTCACTTAAAGTAATTTATCAAGGGAATCGACAAAGAAAGGAACGATCCGATATAGAAAAATCCAGAAATCATTGTTATTCAGAACGATAGAATACTACGATTATTTGGTTCATTTCCATTTCACCCAAATTTCACCGAACACCTGCCGAACACTAAAATTAATTTTCTTCTTTTATCTAAATAATTATTAATTGCCACAATTGATAAATAAAAAGAAATACGAACCGCACGTAAACAAGGAGATACTTATATCGTTTTAGAAGAAGCTTTTATTTTAGAGAGGAGGTTTTCAATAGGAATTGAAATGTTTATGAAAGGCCGTAACAATAACAATCATAAACTCGGCACTTTTAAATTTAAAACTATAAATTATGTACAACGAAATGCTCCCTTCTTGAAGAGTTATATAATTTAAAGTTACAATGAATGAGTTGTTTTAAATGTTAACGGCTCTAATTGGTTTTATTGATTCTGAGTGGTTGTACTTCCTAAGTGACTTTTGTGTGAGTATGCTTTTATTTTAAAGAACACAAGTTTAATTAAATTAAAATAAAAAATAATTCTACATATATAAATTAAAATAAATATTAAATTTCTTAAAATTAAACTAAATTAAATATTAATTTTCTACAATAAATAAATTTGAAATATAAATTAAAATTCAACATATACTAATTAAAAAATAAAAAATAAACAAAATTCTTAACTGGTTCTTAACTAATATAACTAAAAAAAATTATCCTACAAAATTGAATATCAGCATATACAGATTGAAGTAATTTAAGCTTGTTTCATATAGACGCGAATCGCGAATTGCGATTTTGCGAAACTGCTCTCATTGGTCCAATTTTACTGATCATGGCGGCGCTGTCAGAAATTTTAAGATTTTGGCGATTCGCAAGATTTAAAATTTGGGGGGCGGGAAAGTTAAAGTGTTTTCAACTTTTTGCGAATATTCGCGCGATTTTAAGGTACGCGTTTGCGTAGAATGGTGTTGTGATCCGGTTATCGATTATTTTGACGACGCTGCCGCAAAGTAACTGAAAGCATTTCTCCAGTTGAAATGGGTTCTCGTACATAATATGTTTTTGATATATATGGCGACAATTTTTCAACTTCAACCAAGTTATCAAACTCCTATACAGACAATCTGTGAAAATTCCTAAATTTTTTCTCATTTTTCTTCCTTATTTTTTGAATTAAACTGCGACAAGCACCTTGTTGCTTACGAAATTTGAATATTTCACATGTCCCAAATGGCCCATAAATGACCTATAAACCTGTGCTATAAACCCATTCTCTTCTACGTTTTAACAATAAGTAAATGGCAATTTTACACCTTATTCTATTCCAATCCCACAATCGTAATCGATATTCATAATTATTAAACAAATTTAAACTCATATTGTATGCTATAAAATATAAAATAAAGATCGTAAACACGAATAAATATGTATAAAACAAATTAAGTTATCTCAGGTTATGATTTTTTTTTGGTAACTTTCAGGGTGCAGCCACACTATCCTAAAAACGGCGTATCGGCGTAACGGCGTAATGACCTTGAATAGATTTCCAGTAATTCTATTGGCTGAAATTTTTGACAGATGAATTTGACAGATAAAATTTCTGACAGATGAATGTTTCAGCCAATAGAATTACTGGAAATCGATTCAAGGTCGTTACGCCGTTACGCCGATACGCCGTTTTTAGGATAGTGTGGCTGCACCCTCAGTGGAGCAAAAATGAAATGTCCCTAAAAATTCGCGACTGTATGAAATAGGTCCAAATTTTGCGAATATTTTTTGGCGAATCGCTTTTCGCAATTCGCGATTCGCGTCTATATGAAACAAGCTTTACTCTCAACTTACATTACTAGACAAACCTTTTTTTTTCTTTCAATTTATCTAATTATGGTGGATTATACGACTCCCCTCACCTTATGATTTTAGTCTAGTTGTTTTTAATTTTTCAAATTTAACATACCATATTGTTATCTGTGATTGAACAAATTTTGTGATATATATAATTTTTTTTTTGACCTTGTATAAAAAAAATTTGACTTTAACTTGTTTGTGATTCTATTTAAAATTTGACCTCTGTAATTGTTTTTTAGCTTTGGGCCTGAAGATGGGAATATTTTAAATTCCCGAAACATGTCGCCCCCCTTGCTTTTTTAAGCATTAAATTTTTTTAAATTAAACAACTTAAAGATTGTGAGTTATTGTCCTTTTACCCTCCTTCAAAGGTTTGCTTTGATAATATGTACTCACACTGGGTTAGAGAACGTTTAGTATAAATTATGGTTTAATTTATTGAACGGCTTCGGCACAGTTAATAGAATACATTGAATAAAGAATAATTTTTTTTATTCTTTATTCAATGATAGAATATAGGTATGGCAATGGTTCAGATTTCTGCGAATTGTTTAAAATAGCCCCTAGCCGAGCACTAGGTGGGACGAATTTATTTTTAGGTTAAATTTATAATTCTACTAAATAATTCGAATTATTAATTCGATTGTGAAATATGAATTATTACTAATTATTCTATGGTGAAAATAATTCGATTAATCCCATCACTACTTCTTAGTCACCTTTGGTTGCCAATAGAATGTACCCAAAATTGTCTGTTTGTTGCTCTTTGTTACTGCAGCACTGTTTTCATGTAAAAGATACGCTGTAGGCCCTACGCGTGACGTAGAGCGAAAGGCGCGTTGTACGTCTCATGTGAAAACCAAGATAAAAAAAAGGAGTATAGATTGGCGACTCTATTTCCCTCCAGTTTTCTGTCCAAAGTACAACATACAAAAAGTAAATGACAAAAAATTGAATATAAATTATTTACTTAAACAAACTTTAAATAAAATTATTCAACTTGGAAATGTTTCTATGCTTTTTATTAAACTGGTAGGTGCAGCATAATGTAAGATCTGCTTGTCTATCATTTGCATAGTGCACTATTTGGTTTTGGACTTTATTTGCATGTACTTCATTTTACTGTCAACACATTTATTAACTAGCTATATACCTATTAGTGTTTTCTTGTTTTAATATATCTTGGTATCGCTGGTATCAATTTTTTCCAAAATGTTCTTTGTCTTAAGAGAAATATACAATTATTAAGTTGAATTTGATTTTATAGTAGCACAGCAGATCATAAAGATTTTCATACCAAAAGTGTAGAACATGATACACCATTTATGTATTGCCTTTTGAGTCAGCCAGATGGGAAGGTGAGTTTTTTTTATTTAACTTATTCATTAATTCAGTTTCTCAATAAATATAACTTGCAGGCAACGCCATCTTTGCCTGCAAGTTATATTTATTGAAAAACTCTGGGTAAAAAAATATGTTTTGTAAAACACCACTGATGTGTAGAATCCAAACAGAAACTAGCTTGTCAGTTTTATTTCTAAAACAAATTTGCATAACCGACAAACAAAATGCTTAACGTTTTAGGGGGTATATCTTCTCCCGTCGTCAGAAGCTGAACCAAAAAACAAAAGAAAATGGGAAAAACTATTTAAAATGTCTAAATATATTTACTTTTTTCTTTATTAGATTTAAGACATAGACTTAAAATAAAATATAGACTAAACTATTTACATCTTAACACGGTCAAACAATCTTTTTTGTACACATGTTTACTTCTGGGTTCAGTCGACCGAGCCTTCCTCATACAGCCTATGTTGTCACGTCTTTAATATTATCAATATTTTTTTTCTTGTTATACACATATATTGAGATATTAATACTACATTTTAATAAAGTAGGTTTCAATATTCCATAGATGTATTAAATAGTCCTTATACTACTAAATTATAAGTCGGATACTATTTAAAAAGGATAAGTTCTTTACAATATGGCAACACCGATTAGGGGCGTGTGGTCGCCTCTTCATTCATTTATTACCTTGTAGTACGTGTCGCACGTGTGCGGTAAAGCTTTGTTGCCGCTATCTCCCCGGCTGTATTAACGCATTTTCTTAGCTTGTAGTCCTTAGGTGTTTATTTTGTTTACTTTTTCTGTTCAAGAACTATAAAATATGGTTCGCCAGTGCCAAATTTGCAAGAAATTTGACTTAAATAATCCATTTAAGTCTTGAAACGACTTTCGACCGGTAGGCAACTCTCAATTTACCCATTAGGAGTCACTGGCGTTGTTGTAGAAAGGCGCTTATTTAGATAATATTTTAGTAAAATGTAAAATCTGAATTTTTCCTCTTACATAATCATTTATATAAAGGTTTTTGTAACAAAATCATAATTATTATTACCCTGTTAATAATTAATAATGTTTTTATTAAAAATATATTCCGGTTTATTCTAAAATTATCTTCAGGATCTAAAATAACATACAAGAATTTTAAAATGATACTACATTATGAAACAATATTTTTTAATATACCGGGTTCGTCTCAAAAATGGCTCACCCCTATAACTTTATTATTTTTTCAGATAAAAAAACAGATTTGTATGTTAGTAGGCATATGACATAAATTAGGATTGATTGACGTATTCATTTGCTTTTGGTCTCTTCCTGTTTCACCGGAAATGATTACATCTTTTGATTTCTAAAGGCACCCTCGGTATATTGCTACTTTATTCGATAAAAAATGACACTCTGAATAGAATGACATATCATGTCAACTTTTGACATTGTCGCTTAAAAACAAATCGTATTTTAAATTTCAATCCAGGGTGCCATGGTGTTGTTAAAAACACTAAGTTTTAATCAAGGAGCCTTGGAAAAATAGTTTTGATCGTCTAATGGGTTTCGTGTCTTGTCTAGGCCGGTTAAAAGATGTACAAATCGTATTTTTAATCATATGTCAATTTTTTCAAATTGAATAATAATTCAATTGAATCATTAGCATATTTGGAAAAAGCATTTTTTTATGAATATATTGATACCAAACACTTGGTATTTCGAGTCAAATTGTTGTTATGAACTGCGTGTTACAATTACAATTAAACCATATGTGAAAATGTCAAAAGTTGACATATGATATGTCATTCTATTCAGAGTGACATTTTCTATCGAATAAAGTAGAAATATACCGAGGGTGCCATTTAAAAATTACAAGTTATAGTCATTTCCGGTGAAACAGGAAGTGACCAAAAACAATTGAATGCTTCAATCAATCCTAATTTATGTCATATACTAGCATACTAAATCTTGTTTTTTTATTTGAAAAAATAAAAAAATTATGGGAATGAGCCACTTTTGGGACGCACCCGGTATAATAAATAACCGAGTTAAATATATGTAGTTTTTCATTTTATCTACTTCCTATCACCTTCCTTGCTTTAATGGAACAGATTTATGTTTTCTCTAATTTACATAACTAAGGCTTCACTTAACCAGAAAAAAAAATTACAACAATCATACTTTTTTTTTCTCCCTGTCGCCGATTCTATTATATCTGTAGAATAGATCCTGTTTTGATTAATATTAGGGGTTGTAAATGTTTTAATAATTTCACAAATTATGTAATTTCGATTATAAAATTTCTTCTATAACATGTATTTTATTATTTTTACCCTTTTTGGACTCTTTTTTTCTAAACTTTCTATAACACGTTTTTTCTAAACTTTTATTTAAAAAAACTTCTCCAAAATCTTAATAAAATATAAAAAAGTTTAAATACGATATATTTTTAATTTAATTATAGCTTCATTAAAATAAAAAAAAGTTACCCAGCTATGATACGGAGAGTTCAGGTGTACTTGAGAAATGAAAAACAGTGTTGCGTTTCTCGTCAGAGTCGTCAGGGAACGACCGTTACGACAGAGACAACCTATCTATCGCTCGTGTCGCACTCGTTATAACCTAAAACAATAACAAGACATTGTCTGACCGCATGTTCCAGCTATTTATGAATGAGATGCTTAGTCTATATTTTATTTTAAGTCTATGATTTAAGATTATTTTTTTAGGATTTTCTTGGCTTAGATCAATAATAAAGATAAGTTATTTTTTAGATAATTTAATTGACGTTTGAACTAATAAAGTCTTCAACAGAATTATCTAAGTTATCTACAAAATTTAACTTACAATGAACGTAAGAGCGCCATTTATGGCAATTCTTTTTATTAATAAAATTATTATTATTTATTTAAAAATTATTTAAAAAAATTTGCTATACCGGGTGCATCTCAAAAGTGGCTCGCCCCTATAAATGTTTTTCTTTTTCAAATAAAAGAACGAGATTTGGTATGTTAGTATTAGTGATGGGAAAAATCGTATTATTTCAATAATTGAATTATCAAGTTATGAGTGATTTTAATAATCGGATTATAATTCGAATTATAAATCACTCATATTATAATCAGTTCTCAAGTGTGCACTTGCAACGTCGCAAGGTCGTCACCCATAATTCATCACTCAGTTCTCATTATTCGAAATTCGACTAGTTTCTAAATCCCACTAGTCAACTCGCATACCCAACGTTGCCGTTTATTGTCCCTTAATTTCGCAGTTCTGCAGAAACGATAATCGGTCGAGTATTTCGTATCCAATCTAAACAAAAAAAAACTTACCCCAGAGACTAACCAACTCAATTATTGCTATTATCGACAACTAAATAAAAAAATGAAAACAGCTGTAAAAAATAAAAAAGTTTTGGTTTGGGTTGGGACACGATCCTGGGAGCTCTCGTTTCCGAAGCGACGGCCTTACCAATGGATCCACAGCTGCTCTTGCAAAATTGTTTTTAGCTAGGCGTTACTTTCCGCCGTTCTTAAAACCGTTCATAAAATAAGGTGACAGCAAACGGCAACATTGTTGGGTTTTGTTTGGTTTGGTTTTTTGATCGAGGCTTCTCTAATTAGCACATCAAAGGTTCCTTTTTTCACTCTATAAAATGCTTGAAATATTTCCGGATACATATTCAATTTTTTAAAAACTACTTTCATGTATACTACTAAAATGAAGGTAATATATTTAAGCTAAATACAATTTATTACAGCTGTAGTAAAATGAGTAACTAATAAGAATGTAAGAGTGAAAAATGAAGTTCCAACTCTAGATGCAACATTTTTCGTAAACGCCTACTTGTGCGGTTTGAAATTTTTATACAAAATCCGGCAATACCGCAGAGAAGAATGTCTTGACCCAATTTGTATCTCTTTTTAATACATTTGATTTTCTATTAAGCTGTCTACATCAATGTCTTACACATTAAAATCCAGACCGCACAGTTTCGATTACCAAATCGGTATAAATATTAGAGTCTTAATCTCTTTATTTGCTGTCCTCCATTCACGCAGTTGTGCAGCTCGGAACTGTTCAAGAACGCGATACTCTCACTCCATTCATTTGAGTCATAAAGTTCAGAACTGTTCCGCGCCATATGAAGGCACCAGGCTATTGCGCACAGCTCCTTTCAGAACCGTTCTCGAGTAGCCCAGGGCGTAAAGCACTGGAACTTGAAGTTCGCGAATGGAGGACAGCAATTCAGTGCTGGTATTAAATTAATGGCGATATTTTAGCCATTGTCATGTCCGCCTGCTATGCGTCTGGTTACCACCAACAGAAACGGACAATCAAAAAGGTACTTACTTCGAGGCGACTCTGAAGGTTTTGTCCTCTTATGGGCTATTCCGGATATATCCGCAGCCCAGTTAAACGCTATACGGTAATATTTATTTAAATCGACGTAATCTAAATTTGAATATGACTGTTTATAGGTCGCATAGCCCTCCAGAACCTGTAACAGCCTCGGCAACCTTAGTCACAAGTCTGACAAAGGCTTGGAGCTCTGTAAGACCCGATCCTGTAGGAATTCTGGATCAAATCGAGCGACAGGAGAACCAATGTAAACAATTTTGTTTATTCTTTTAAATTTTGCGCCAAATCTGTTAAAATTGGGACCATTAAAAATGCTAACACTGTACTTGATATTGCAGCTATAAAGTTGACAGCGAGTATTTATCTGCCCCTGCAGAGCCGTCTAGTGGTCGGTAGGGAGGATGGCACTATAATTATTGTTCCTGCTACCCAGACAGTGATGTTACAGCTGTTACATGGGAATCACCAACAATATCGTAGTAAAATAAACCAAAAAACCTTTTTAATTTTAATATTATTAATTTTTTGTTTTATTAGATTGGCCACCTCATCAGATTCTTTCTGGTCATCAAGGTAGAGTTAATTGCCTATTGCATCCTCATAGAGAACATCCAAGGTAAATATTCTTTGCGTAATATGGTTTATTTGTTAGTTATATACCTGTTCTTCTTTTTCCAAAGATATAACAGGAACTATCTCGTATCTGGAGGTGTTGACTTTGCAGTTTGCCTTTGGGACTTGGTAACAGGAACTTTATTGCACCGATTTTGTGTCCATGCTGGCGAAATCACGCAGTTATTAGTACCACCAGAAAACTGCAGTGTAAGTAAAATAATTCACTATGAAGAATATTTATTTGCTTGGGACTCATCTGTAATAAGCAGTCTAAAGAATGGTGTACATCGGCACTGTCAATTATCTAATGCTTTTACAGGCCAGAATCCAAAAGTGTATTTGTTCAGTGGCTTCGGATCACTCTGTGACGTTGTTGAGTTTGGCCGAACGGAAATGCATTTGTTTAGCGTCCAGACATTTGTTTCCCGTCACGACGATAAAATGGCGACCCAAGGACGATTTTGTGGTAATAGGTAAGGCAGTTTTTGTATAAGAGTACAGTTAAATATACATAGATACTCTTTTGTAGGATGTTCTGATGGTACAGTGTATGTTTGGCAGATGGAAACAGGACACTTAGATAGGGTACTCCAAGGTATGATCACGGCATATAAATCACACGGCAGGCTAACTCTGCCCAGATCCCATTGTTTAAAATTTCTATAAAATTTGACCTTGAAAACACCATTATGGGTGCCGAGTCAGGGCCGGATTAAAACATATCAAAAAATTTCTGAGAAAATAAACTATTGATAGACAGGGTCGTATTAAAAAAAATACTGTAATTGACTGAAACTGAATTTTATTTACACAATACTTTTATCTAAACAAATGAATCGTTAATCGCGCATACTCCTCGAAAAGTAAAAATGAAAAAATCAATTAAACATTTAACTGTAGAGAATAGACAATTAAAATTAAAAAACATGCCAGGAGTTACAAACAAGAATTAAAGAAATACCCAATAAAATATCTATTGAACAATCTAAAGAGGCTACGTACAAATTATGTCCATCAATGGACATAGCAAATTTTGTTAATATTCAAATTGCACAAATTAACAAATCAGCTAAAGGAAGAAAAGTAACTGATGAATTTAAATATAAATGTTTGGCTATATACTTTTCCGGGCCAAAAATATACAAGACGCTCTTGACAAATCTATTCTGCCTTCCACCTCCAGAGACCCAGAGACACTAAGATAATGAAAATATGACATCGATATCAAACCTGGCTTAGAAAATCTTAGTGTATTTGAGACTCTGAAAAAGAAAAGTTGAAAGTTTCGATGAACCGGATGAACTTAATCGATACTGTGTTCTATGTATTGATGATATGAATATCAAGTGCAATTTGTTTTATAATAGTGGTCGTGATAATATTATAGGTTTTGAGGACCAGAAGGGGAACAGAGAGTTTAAACCAGCTTGGGTGTCTAATATTGTCATGGGAAGAGGCCTTGGGTAAGAGGTATCTTTACCAATGGGAAGCAGTCCCTAGCTTATTTTACAAGTTTTTTTTTTTTTTTCTGGTGTTGGGGAAAAATCTTCCATAAGACATCCAGAAAAAAAAGAAATGTTTTACCAGATAGTGTCGGATTCCTACCGACTAAAAAACCCCCTTCACCAGCAGGCCTCACCATCTGCAACGGAATCCGCTCACGCATTGCTTCATTACAGTGGCGTTCTTAGACATTATGTCTCACGTTCAGAAGTTTTTGTCATTATAATATATTTCATAAGTCCCACTGCATTTTGCCATTCTTTTTCACTTCCTACCAGACATTTTACCACTTCTGCCACACAAAACTTATTTCCCGTCCTATTATAGAACTCCTCCCTTTGTGTCTGCCATCTACAACAATTGAAAAGAGTGTGTTCGGCGTCGTCTTCAGCTTGACAGTAATCGCAGTCCGGAGTGTCGATTTTCTTTCTAATGTATAGATATTTTTTAAAATAGCCGTGTCCAGATAATATCTGGGTGATATAGTAATCGACTTCACCATATGGTCGCGTTATCCATTTATGCAGATTGGGAATGAGTGTAAATGTTCACCTTCCATGCTTTCCGCCCGTCCATTTTTCCTGCCATTTTTCCATGAGTTGCGCTCTGGCTTCGTTTTTTATCGAACCATTGTAGACTTCATACCTCTCTTGTATCAGGAGATCAATCGGTGGAATTCCGGCAATGACACCAACGCCCTCCCCTGATATAGTTCGGTAGGCGCTGCAAACCCTAATGCACAAAGACCTCTGTAATCGCCTTAGTTTCACCAGCCTATTCTGACATTTAGTAGCTGTATGCCATGCCGGCGCTGCATACAATATTTGTGAGTGTATAACACTTGCTAAAATGCGCCTTTTAGACGCTCTGGGACCTCTTATTTTCGGCATTAAATTTGACAATGCAGCTACGGTTTTCTCCGCTTTAACTACTAACCTACTTATGTGTTCTCCAAAAGTCAGCTTTGTGTCTAGCCACACACCCAAATATTTTATTGCTTTGGAGGGTGCAATATCTATTCCTAAAACGTTGAAGAAAATTGGGGCAATTTTTCTTTTTGTTGTAAGTAGAACAGCTTCTGTCTTGTGTGGTGCTAACTGAAGATCATGTTCTTTCATCCATCTTACTACTCTCGCTATGCCAGCATTTCCCAAATTTATCAGGATCTCTTCATTTTCACCTACAATGACCATAGCAGTATCGTCTGCGAAGCCAATCAAAGTTACACCACCTGGCATATCCAGCTCCAACAAACCGTCATACATCACATTCCATAGGGTTGGCCCCAGGACGGATCCCTGTGGTACACCACCATAAATGTCAACTTTTTTGCTTTTTCCATCAGCTTCAAGTATTATCTTTCTTCCGTTAAGATAGGAAGCAATCGTAGACCACAACACTTTGTCAATATTTCTTTTTTTTAGATTTCTCAGTATCTTTTCCCAAGAAGCGCTGTTAAAAGCATTTTTAACATCTAACGTAATTACGGCGCAAAATCTTCTATTTATATGAGAAAATGCTGCTGCATTCTTGGCTAATTGAATTACTTTTGTAATGGCGTCTGTGGTTTGCTTTCCTTTTTGGAAGCCATATTGTTTAGTTGAGAGACCACCTGTCCGTTTCAGCTCATTATTTAATCTCCCAAGTATGAGATGTTCATATAATTTACCTTCCACATCTAAAAGGCTTATTGGTCTATATGAGTTACCATTTCCATTTTTACTGAGAAGGACGAGTTTTGCCTGTTTCCATTCCTGCGGAAACTTAGTCAAGCGTGTAGGTTGTTGTAGACCTGCAGTACATACTCCGCTTTACGTGTTATTACGTGCTTAAGTACTTCTGGAGGAACATTTCCGGGTCCTGGTGCTTTACCATTTTTTAATTTCTTACACGCTTCTAATAATTCTTCGAGTGTATAGGGCTCAAAATGTATATTTCTATCACAGTCATCTGCATCACAGTTATTTTACAAGCTTTTATTTAACTTGCTTTGTATGTACATATGTTTGTTCGGGGCAAATCTTGTAAGCTAAATTAGAAGCACTTCCTTTCATTGCAGGAAATTGAAATTTGGCATGTAGGTTCAGTCCCGATGACAATACATTTTCTTGCAAAGCATGACCCGAATTTTTGACAGCTGTCAAAAAAATTTCAAAGTTGTCCGATTTTGATAAAAATCGATATATAGGATTACCATGGGCTAAAATGAAAGAAAAAAATTGAGCTGTCAAATTTGACAGCTGTCAAAAAAATCTCAAAGTTGTCCGATTTTGATAAAAATCGATATATTGGATGCTCCCTACCCCATAGTCGGTTTTCATTTTATTTGTCTCCCATTTGAACTGTCAAATTTGGCAGCTGTCGTTTTTTTAAGTTCTCATTTTTTAATGAAAATCGATATACATATTATTAGGATGCCCATAGGAAGTTATTTAAGAAAATGAATTGAGTTTAAGTGTGTGGCACTGAGAAACCAGCATAACTAAAAAGTAAAAAATAAATTTAAGAAAAAAACTTTTTAAAAACAAGCTTTTATTTAAATACATTAAAAAGAAAGAAATTAACTTTTTCTTTAAAACTTTTATTATGAACTTATTACGTCATTACACAATTTTATATTATATAAAAGCTTGTCGCGAGATTTGAGTGTACGGTTGCACTCATAAAAATCTGGTACGACAACTCTATCTTGTAATTCCTGTAATTCTTGTAATTCCAATATCTTGTAAACCTATCATTATTCCCATCCAGGATAAATTCATCCAGTTTAGAAGAACATTTAAAAAACTTTGTGTCCGAATATTACACACTGGTACTGAAAATTGCCAAAATGATCTGGCAAACGTCTTATTAAAAACGGCAGACCTTATTATAAAAAACAACGACACCTCTGTTCTTTTCTCTCTGAATTGTCATGAGCTATCCATTAAAATTAAAAATAGATACGGATAATCAGAAAAACAGTAATTTAGAAATGAATCTTGTTTGTCATTTTGCAGGATACCTAATAATAAAAATTACTTTGAATGCCGTAGGCAATGATTGAGTATTAAAACTAGAAGAATTTCGGACGAAAAATAAAAAAAACAAAATATATCACTCAAGAAAAGAATGAAATAAATTAAGCCGCACACTACTGACTCAAAGCTGCCGTTACTGTATGTTGTCGATGACAAAGACTACGACACTGGTTAATTTCTGTTGCTGGCACCCATAAACTTGTGTCTAGCCCTAGCAGGCAACTATTAAGCCCGACCAATCACGTTAAAGTTTTTGACAAACACAAATGAATTAACACACTTCAAATAACCACGCTAACCAACCTGATTGGTCAAGCTTAAAAGTTGACTGCTAGGGCTAGACATTTCTCACCCATAAAGGCGGCGTGCGCAAGGATATGCGCGTAGCGTTCCCGCTAAAGCGAGCTGGCCTGCCGTGTGATTTATATGCCGTGGTATGGCTTTGCTGTAATTTTTATTGACTTTCCATTTTTTTTTCTACTGTGAAATATTGAACATGGTAGTTACAGTTTAACATACATATATATATATATATATATATATATATATATATATATATATATATATATATATATATATATATATATATATATATATATATATATATATATATATATATATATATATATATATATATATATATATATATATATATATATATATATATATACTGGTTATAGTTATTTTAACGGGATAGTACACTCACCAGCACGAAAAACGGGCAACTCGAAATTTTGATGTAATTTAAAGTTTAATATATTTTGTTCGAGTGGGCCGATTTTGATGATTTGTTAAGCAATATATAGCTGAATTATTTGACTTTTTAATAACTTTAAATTAAAAATGAAAGTTTCTATCTGTCAATTAAACGAGGGAAAACAAAATGTTAATATTTTGGTGAAAGTTTGAAACACCCTGTGGAATATGTTATAACAGCAAGGAATTTAAAAATCATTTTATCATCTAGGTACCTACATCCTTTCCCCATAGTTTTTTTTTGGTTCATTTCAATAGCTTTATTTTTTTTGGGGATATTAGCTTTGAAGAAGACACTAACATTTTTTCGTAATATTTACATTAAAACCATACCTTTGCTTTTGGTCCTAGTCAACAGACCTAGTAAGTTATGGTCCCTAGGCAGGCCTTCTTGACATAAGATTTGCTTCCTTTAATCTTTTTCTTCCAGTCGGTTCACTTACATGTACGTTCCTTAGGTGCAATTCATTATAAATTTGAAAAGCTGGCAAAAGGGCGGTTTCTTAGCGTTCTAAACTTAGTGGATCGTCTCGATTCGAAGTTCTCATACAAACGTTCCTGGACGTCTAGCATATGAACTTGTCTCGAGGATGTGACTACACTCTACTTCTTGCACACTAAATCTGTTAGTGACATAATTTTGATCTGTATCATCTTCAATTAAAGCAACTATAGCGGATACAACTTCTGGACTTTAAACTATCTCTGCTATAGTAACTGCCCAACAGACCATAATAGTATGATTTTTCAATAACAGTGACATTATTGACATTACATAAATCATAAGTAGTAATTATAGTTCCCGTTTTTCGTGCTGGTGAGTGTATATTTCGTCCCCAAAAGTGTAATTTTTGCCCAAATCGTGATTTTTTAATATTTATTAACAGGTATAGCAGCGGAAGAAGTACTCTATGCTTGCGAGGAAAATGAAGAAGCAAATACCTCTTCCGATATGGGTCTGGCAAATCCAGCTGTTCATTTCTTCAGAGGTTTGCGTCACAGGAACCTGTCGGCTATTCGCCACGCCACCCAGCGGGGATTGCACCAACTACAACAACTCAACGCGCATACCGAAGCGGGGGATCCACATGCTCGAAGGGTTCATGGTCAGACATCACTAGGCGTTCAAGGATTCAGAACTAATCCAAAAGGTAGCACAGAATAAATATTGTTACGTTTTTCTTCGGTTCCGTGTGGATAGAACGTCACAATTTATTTAAACACTATTTATTTAACACTAATTAACAAAAACAATAACGATAAAAGATTTATAAAACTATTTACAAACGATTTATAACTAAGAATTTATTTTGAATTTTAGCGCGTCAACTGCACTTGTCTATTTATAACTGCCCTCTCTAGGCCACAGCCGCCGGCTTTTATACCTACAGCTAAAAGAACTCTAGAATAGTCCATAGATCGTTAGGTGCATAGAGAAGGTTTCGATTGTTCTCGTATGTACTACTCCATTCCAGTGGAACTCGTTTCTTCTCGAATCTTCGAATGAATTATTACGGTGTCTATTCTTTAATGCGATGTTAAGGTCATCCGAGGGCGGGCTATATAGTTAGGTTAGGTCGAGTCCTCGAGTCCACACCGGTCCGCAACACTGCCCCCTTCTTAGGTACATGCTCGTCCCGAGATGTACACGGTGAATGAAGGGTATTTGCAAAGCTGGCCCCTGGTACATTGCGAAGTCTGGTAGAAATAGCAGTCTGCAGTTTTCTCTCCCGATCTCAGCTTTGGGTTGTAGCAGCAAACAAGTATCTCGATTCCCGTAAATCTGAACAAGATTTCAATCATGTTCCGGATTGTACGCCAACTCAAACCATCGAGTCCACACGCCAGCTTCGGAATGGCTAATCGTGCAATGTTGTTGTTTAGCAGGGCTTCTCTCAGTTCAATCAGGGTCTTCCATAGATTGAGATAAGTCGGCTTACTCGGGGACCATTCCTTGGTGACCAGGTAGAAGATGTGTCTTGCTTGACCATGTGCATGTCGGTTAGCCTCAAGACGCTTCCAACCTCTGGATCCTGTCGGCGTAGTTCTCCGACACGCCCAAACTTCTCATTGAACGTCGCAGCGATTCCTCTGGACATCCGCAAATCTCGAGCCACACAATGAGCGAGCGAATAATCAGGAGGCACGGAAAAGAGGTCTCGTTGATCTTCTTTGGTTACACCATAGCGAGCCTTCTCACTGCTGTTGTATCGGGCCATGAAATCGTCAAAGGACATCTCCGAATCAGGGGGATCAAAGCTGCAGGTTCTCACGGTCCCAGCACGATCTTCTATTTCGCCTTGGTAGGGGCTCAAACGGTTGAAATGGACTACCCTCGGTTTTCCTTTTGGCAATTTTCTGATACGGTATACGACGTCATTAATTCTATCCATGACTTCGTATGGCCCTTCCCACGAGGATTGTAGCTTCGGAGATAACCCACGACGTCTCTGCGGGTTATATAGCCACACCAACTTCCCTGGTTGGTATCCTCCATGCTCAGCTTGAATGTCGTAGTGTTCCTTCATTCGGTCACTAGCACTTTGAATATTTAGGCGGACTCTCTGATGAATGTCGTCCATCCTTTGACGTAGTGTGTGGACATAATCTTCTCCGGCGACTTCTTCTCCCGGTCGGCAACCAAATTTCAGATCACAGGGTAGGCGCACTTCCCGTCCCATAACGATGCTGGCTGGAGTTTGCCCTGTAGATTCTTGGACGGATGAACGGTAGGCCAACAGGAACAGGTGAAGAAATTTGTCCCAGTCTCTTTGGTGGTCAGAGACTACTTTGGCCAGATAACGGTTGATAGTTCTGTTCATGCGTTCAACCATCCCATCGGATTGTGGATGTAGAGCAGTCGTCCTGGTCTTGCGGATGTTCAGGACTTCACAGACGCCTTGGAACAGATTGGACTCAAAGTTTCTTCCCTGATCTGAATGAAGCTCCATGGGAACACCAAACCTGCAGATCCATTCTTTAACAAGGGCATCAGCAATCGTGGACGCTTCTTGATTTGGCAACGCGTAGGCCTCGACCCATTTGCTGAAGTAATCCATTACTACCACAATGTATTTGTTGCCATCGTTCGTCTCCGGGAAAGGACCAGCCACGTCGATCGCTATTCGTTCGAAGGGACTGCCAACATTGTACTGGCGCATAGGGGCTTTACCACGCTTTTGTGGCCCATTGATGGCTGCGCAAATGTCACATTTCTTACACCAGGCCCTCACATCTTCTTTGCAGTTCACCCAAAGAACCGTTCACGCAGCTTGCCAAGTGTCTTGGTAACACCCAGATGTCCACCGCTAGTTCCATTGTGAACTTCCTCCAAGACTTCTGGGACCCTCTTCTTTGGAATGACGATCTGCCTTCTCTCTTCTTGTCCCTCCGGTCTCTCGATCACACGGCGAAGTAGTCCGTTATCTATTACCAAGGAATTCCACTGGGCCCAGTACGACTTTACGTTCGGCGACTATCTGCAAACTTCTTCCCACGTTGGTCTTTGACCTGCGTTTTTCCAGTTAATTAGTAAACCTAATTCTGGGTCACTGGTTTGGTCATTTGCAAGATCTTCAGGTTGCCAACTATCATTAACCACAGTTGTTCTTAGGAGTTTCACTTCTTTCTCTTCTGCTCGGGAACAATGCTTACAGTCTCTAGCGCAAGGTCTTCTGGAAAGTGCGTCGGCATTCCGATGGATTGCCCCAGCTCGATGTTATGTGTCGAAGTCAAATTCTTGTAATCGTTCAATCCATCTAGCTACCTGCCCTTCAGGATTCTTAAACTGCAACAGCCATTTCAAAGCAGCATGGTCTGTTCTTAACAAGAACTTTCTTCCATAGAGATAGAACTTGTAGAAGTGTTCCACTGCTTTAACTACTGCTAGTAATTCTCGTCTGGTTACACAGTAGTTCCTTTCCGGTTTTGACAAGGTCTTACTAAAATAACCAATGACTTTTTCTTGACCATCCTGGATCTGAGACAGAACAGCGCCTAACGCAACATTGCTAGCGTCGGTATCCAATATAAAGTTTCCTTTGCCAAGAGGGTAGCTAAGTATGGGGCACTAGTCAGGGCCTTCTTCATTTTTCGGAATGCCTCGTCAGAATCTGAGTCCCAAGAGAAACGCCTCTCGCCTTCGGTAAGTCTGGTCAATGGTTTTGCGATGGTGGCGAAACCTTGTACATAGCGGCGATAGTATGTGCATAGTCCCAAAAAGCTTCGTATTTCATGTTTATCTTTAGGTATTGGCCACTCTTCCACTGTCTTGGTCTTCTGTGGATCTACCGCAACTCCTTGGGAGGAGACTACATGGCCCAAGTAGTGTACCTTTTCTTGACACAGATGACATTTCTTGGGGCTAAGTTTCAAACCAGAGCTCCCTAGTCGCTTGAAAACTTCTTCCAAATCCTTCAGATGATCGTCAAAGGATTTCCCAACCACTATGATGTCATCCAGGTACACTAAACAGGTAGTCCAGGATAGTCCCTTTAACACAGACTCCATTAGTCTCTCAAAGGTAGCTGGCGCGTTGCACAATCCAAAAGGCATGACGGTAAATTGCCACAGTCCGGAGCCCACCGAGAACGCTGTCTTCTCTCTCTCTTTCGGCGCCATGTCGACTTGCCAATATCCACTCTTCAGATCTAACGTAGAGAATATCGTTGACCCCGCCAGCGTGTCTAGAGTATCGTCTATCCTCGGCAGGGGATAACTATCCTTCTTGGTAACATTATTGAGCTGCCGATAATCAACACAGAACCTGGTGGTACCGTCTTTCTTCTTTACTAGTACTACCGGCGATGTCCACGGTCTCTTAGATGGTTCGATGACACCCTCTTCTTTCATTTTTCGAAGGATTTTATCAGCTTCTTCACGTTTGGCGAGCGGAAGTCTTCTCGGATTTTGTTTGATTGGTCGTGCATCTCCGGTATCAATTTTATGTTGTACTAAATTGGTACGACCTCTCTGTCCTGCTTCTCCTTTATCAAACACATCTTGATACTTGATTATCAGGTTTCTCAATTTTCTACTATTTTCGGGAGATAATCCTTTAACGTTTACTAACTCCTTCACCATTTGGTCCGGAATTTTTGAAGTCGAAACTTTGGAGGCTTCCACCACAGAATATCTAGCTACGCAACAGAAAAATACTCGAAATGAAAGAGCTAAAATTGCGCAAATAAAATACTAGATGGCGCGACAATATCATAATCAGAATATAATTGGAAATTTTGAACTTTCGGTTTTAGATCGATGGCACGTCGACGGCCTTGAAGCTCGCCGAAATATGCACAGTTGCCAGATTCAAAAAGACCTTTAATTGGGGATGCCCATTCTTTTTCTGGTTATAATAGTTTCTTTCTATTCTTCTTTTCTTGTCGGACACACTTATGTTAATTATTCGTTTGGCTTTTAAAATAATTTTAAGTATATTCAAAAAATACATTTTTAATATACACTACCTTATATTGTTAACTAAGAAAATACCTTTAATTACCTTTAAAAATATACAGGGCGATTGATAGTAATATTTATTAATACTGGAACGTTAGTAATGAAATGTAAGTTTAATAATAATGGAAATAATTTATTAAAATGCAGTAGCACACAACAAATCTTTATAAAGAAACGCAAGTATACCAAATTTGGGCCCAATCGAAATCCAGGAAATATCATAATATTGTACTCCACTCGATATGCTTCAAGGTACCATAATATTGCAATGTCACCGAAGATCCGTAGTATACCAAGTTTAAGCCCAATCGATCGCCAGGAAATGGTATCGTAATATGGTACTACATTATGGTACCTCTTGATATGTTTCACGGTACCATAATATTGCAATGTCATCAAACATACGCAAGTATATATCAAATACGAGCCCAATCGAACGTCAGGAAGTGGTATCATAATGTAGTACTATAGAAGGTACCACTTTATATGCTCCATGGTACCATAATATTACAATGTCACCGAAGATACGTAGAATACCAAGTTTAAGCCCAATCGAACGCCATGTACGTAATATGATACTATATTATGGTACCACTTGATATGGTTCATGGTATCATAATATTGCAATGTCATCAAAAATACGAAATTATATGTCAAATATGAGTTCAATCGAACGTCAGGAAGTGGTATC